CCTGCTGCCCTCACTTCCAGATTGTGAGATGTGTCAGAACTTCTTCACTGACAGCTGTGCTGCTCATGGGCCCCCAACATTTGTGAAGGACAGTGCAGTGGACAAGGGGCATCCCAACCATGCAGCCCTCAGCCTGCCCCCTGGGCTGAGAATTGGGCCATCAGGCATCCCTCAGGCTGGGCTTGGAGTATGGAATGAGGCCTCTGATCTGCCACTGGGTCTGCACTTTGGACCCTATGAGGGCCGAGTTACAGAAGACGAAGAGGCAGCCAACAGCGGATACTCCTGGCTGGTAAGAATTACCTGCCGTTTCCCCTGTTCTGTCTTCCCACATTTCCTTCTGTGCCTTTGCTGGGACAGCACCATCTTCACGTTAGGTTACAGGCAGAGATAACGTGGTTAGCTCTGTGTACTCAAGGGTCTTTGCATGAACATGGAACTTCTATTTAGAGATCAGAGTGTACGTGGGAGCAGAGTGGTACAAAGACAACAAGTGCATCCTCCCTTGTGGGGCTTCTGCTCTGACTCGACAGATCAACTCAGATGCGTAGATGACGACTAAGGCGCATACCATGTGGTCTCAACTGGCAGTTGAAGCCATGCAGGCCCAAAGGCCACTGATGACAATGGAGTAAAATAATTCTTCTGATTTTTACTCTCTAAAAAGACTTTACCTTATTTTTCTGAAACTCAGATCACCAAAGGGAGAAACAGCTATGAGTATGTGGATGGAAAGGATAAATCCCGGGCCAACTGGATGAGGTAAGGCCAGGAGCTGCCTGAGATTCAGAACCAGCCTTCCTCTGTCACAATCCTGGATTTCCTTCCTTCTCATCATGGCTCCCTCAATGATTTTCACATTCCGTGTTTCTATTTTCTCCACACAGTGCTGTTTTATACCATGAACATTTAGAAATAAAAGATAAAAATATAGTTATTATGATTTATTGGTATCAAAACATAAATCTGTATGCTAGACAAAATTGAGGCACCAAGATAAACCTTGAGAAGCCTAGATTCACGGGAACACTGCATTCATGCTTTAATTTATGTAATCCACATTTATTAAGCACTTAGTGTGTTCCAGGTTAGGAAGTGAAGTTCATACTTGAACAGATCATACAACCCATGTCCTATGTGGAGGATGTATTGCAGACGGACATAAAACATTTGGTTATAGGAACATTTAACCACAATTTTCTTATTTTTTTAGAAGCACACATTACCAAGACAACCCAAAACAAAGGACCTTTAATCTGTGAGGGCAGCAAATCTTCCTGGCCTGAGTAAAATTAAAACCGAAGCCTAAGGAGATGTGAGCTGCAGGATGACCCAGCCCCTTTCCACAATGGGCTCTCATTTTACCAGAGAATAGAAAAATGAATAAACTATTACTGTTCTGTTATCGGGCCAAGAGAAAGATCCTTCTAAGTTTCTCTGGAAACCTGGGGAAGGCAGGTGAACGGCATCTGGGTGAACTGTAGGGTGACTGAGGAAGGCCTCTCAAAGCAAGATGGACTAGGGCTGATTGTAAAATGATGTACACTGATCTAGAAGCAGAGTACATGATCAAGCACCAAGTTCTGTGGCATAAAACAGAATTAATTTAGAGTTTAGAGAAGCTAGGAATTGATGTGTTTTATGGTCAATCAAGGTGGAGGTAAGTCCAGAGTTGGGCTTTGAAAAAATGGTTGAATAGGCACGGCAGGGACACATTCCAGGCAGCATGAGCACTGTAGTCAGAATCGTAAGTTCATATGACCTTGTGAAAGAGATTTAGGAAAGAACAGAAGACTCCCAGAGGAGTGGTGGGGGAGTGGTCAGCACTAGACCACGGAGGCCTAGACCAGCAGGTGATGGGCCAGACCTGGATCTGACAGATACTGAGAACTCACTGCCTCTTTTCTTTCCCTTTGCTGCGTTGACCCCAGGTATGTGAACTGTGCCCGGGATGATGAGGAGCAGAACCTTGTGGCCTTCCAGTACCACAGGCAGATCTTCTATAGAACCTGCCGAGTCATTAGGCCAGGCTGTGAACTGCTAGTCTGGTATGGGGATGAGTACGGCCAGGAACTGGGCATCAAGTGGGGCAGCAAGTGGAAGAAAGAGCTCATGGCAGGGAGAGGTAGGCATCACTATTACTCTTTTTAAAGGACAAGAAAGAATTATCCTTGAGAATTTTCATGGTTTAACTCTTAAGTAGAGTAAAATGACATCTAAAGTCAGTAAAATTTCAGATCAGTGGCTTCCAAAATTAAAGATTCATGTTATATGGCTTTGCCTCTTTGGAATAACTTTTATATTTTTAAATTTTTGGTTTTATATTCTAAGTACTTCATGCACAAAATAAAGACAAAAATCAAGTTCTCAAACACCTCCAGCTCTCCCAACAAGGTAGTTTCTTCTGGCATTTCCTTTTTATTTCTTAATGATATGCATGTGTTGTTATTCATTCATTCATTATCTCAATTAGCTGCCATGTGAATTCCTACTCTGTGCCAGATGACGTTGCACATAGACACTGCCTCTGATGCTGCTTGAGGTTGCCTAGTCTAGCTGATACGTAGAAAAGGCCCAAGATGTGGGGTTTCTGGATTTTTTAAGATGTGGTAAATAAAAGTTGCAAGAAGTGTAAATAAGAGTTGATCAAGAAAATCAGAAAAACTACTCTTAAATAGATGACATGTAAATTAGGGACCATATGAATACACACAGACATATGTGTAATATCAGACAGCAATTAGTCCTTTGAAGAAACTGAATCCAGGAAGAGTACCTGGGGATCAGTGTGAGGTGAGGGTAGAGTGTGGCAGGGGACTGTCAGGGAAGGTTTCTCTCAGGAGACGGCATTTGAGAAGTGCACGTGCCTGTGGGCAAAGGGTTCCGGGCACTGGGCACAGGCAGTGCAAAGGTCCTGAGGCCAGAAAGACTTCAGCTTTGGCTCATTTTTGGAAAATAGGCCGCAGCTGGTCATCCCCTCAGAGCTACTCCAGTTTCTGGGTGAGAGGGAACGGTGACAGGATGAAGCGGGGAGCATGGAGGTAAGCCTGATTAGAGATATTTTTTGAAACAAGATTTTCTATTGTATTTGAAATGTGCTCAGACCGAATGAAATAAATCAAGCATAAATACTTGATATGCGGCCTGAGAAAGAGCATATTCTCATTTTATGATCTGTGGAATCCGAAATAAAAGCAGCCCATGCACCTAGTTGGAGCAGCAGGCCCTTTAG